AAAAAAAAAAAAAAAGCAAAATGTTGATATACTAATTAAGCATGCCAAAACTTCAAACTAAACTAGCTAGCTCCTAGAGGCAGATCTAGAGCGTGCTCGTTCAATTGAATTCACTACTTTTGGCTCGAATTACTTATTATTACATTATGAAGAAAAAAAATCATAAATGTGTAATACTTCACATCCATTCTCAACCAGTTGACTCTAAACGTTGAATTCGCCTCTGCAGTAGCTCCTTGTATAATCTCTATTTTCTCACGTACGAAAGATTTTTTTTCCCTCTAATGCGCTTGCAATTAGACCAGTCGTAACCCCAATTGTTACGGGAATGTTGTTTAGTTGGTCTATGCATGTCTGGACAGCCTCGGTTAATCCTGCCTATATTAGGTTGCATGTCTTTTTGTAGTCGGATCTCTAAGTTTTCAGAATGCTCCGGATTTTTTTTTAAAAGAATAAAGAAAATAAAAATACATGGCTTACCCTCCAAAAGAAATTAATAATAATTGAATCAATAACTTCAAATTCATTTGCTTTGGCCATTGATTCCTGCAACATTAATAACATTCATACATTAGCTTCTTTTAGGATCATTTATTTGGAAAAAAATAAATACATATCATCACTAACAAGAGAGAAAAATAGTTACCTTTCAAAAAAATAGGATAATGGAGAAAGGATTAAAAATGTGGCAAATGATGATAAAATTACAAGGGATGAAGGTTTGAAACCTAATGACATAAGATAACTTGCTAATACTGAATTTCCTGCATATATAAATTGCATTCCTATTAAACCTCCTATCATTGCAAAATCTTCAAAAACTTCCTTCTTTTGAATTCCTTTCATTTTCTCTTCAATAAATAGCTGAAATTAACCTTCAATATTGCCTTTCTCCCTCAATATCTACCAGCCAGATATAACTGTGCCTCAATCCAAAATAAAATTACTTGTCATATAGCACAAGAAACGACTATGTCTCAATCTTAAACGAGATTACTTGTCATATAGCACAAGATACGACCATGTCTCAATCTCAAACAAAATTACTTGCCATATAGTACAAGAAACGACCATGTCTTAATCTGAAACAAGATTACTTGTCATATATCATAAGATACGACTATGTCTCAATCTGAAACAAGATTACTTGTCATATAGCACAAGATATGACCAGTCTCAATCCCAGACAAGATTACTTGTCATATAGCACAAGATATGACCAGTCTCAATCCCAGACAAGATTACTTGTCATGTACGGATTGATAAACGTGACATATATAAATTAAATTCTTTATAGGGAACAAAGTGCTATTGATCAATGATCACTCTTCATCGTATATTTTCATTTTTTTCCTCATAATTTACCTTCATTCACCTGCAATATATTGCCTTAGTATTACCAGATATTTTCATATTTTTTTCTCATAATTCACCTTCCCTTCACCTGCAATATTACGTTGGCTCGTTGATCTTTTCTGGTATTTATTCTAGGTATTATTGGTTAGCAAAGAACTAGTATATATATGGATAATTTGTTCTTGAAAAAATATCCATTTGGTTTCCTCCTAATTATCTGTTTGAGGAAGAGGAGTTTGGAAAATTATGTGGCCAAGATTCTTTTGTAGGACAAATGGAATTATCAATGATCACTTATTCAATTGGTTTACTGGTTTGCCATTCAATCTGCCAAATGGATTAAATTGAAATTAAATTTAGTTAAATGCCAGAAAAATGAAAAAAATTAAATGCCGAAAATAGTATCAATATTTAATAGAAGTAGTATCAATATTCGACCTAATAGATTTTGCCCCTGTACTATCTAAAATTGACCAATTTTGTCTTTCGTTAATCTTTTGATTTTATATTACCCTTTCCCTTGATCCATAACAGATCTCCAACCTGGGTTAACTTTAAATCATAACCAAAAGTTGATTGGTAAATTTGATTATTTTTTTCTCGAAGAATTCGAACTCGTGTCCATTCATTTTATGCTGGAACTCTATTAATAACAAGGGGCCAAGGTTAACAATAAGGACATAAAATGAACCTAAAATATACCGTATAATAAAATTGAGCAATTTCAATTAGTACATAAGCAAGATTTATACTTTTTTTTTTTTTAATTTTGTTGAAGAAAATAAGAAAACGTGATTAGTTGATTAATATCGTGTGACTGCCTTCGTAGTAACCTGTTTAGCTAATATAATATCCCTTTTGACCAAAAAAAAAATTATAATTGGTATAATTGGGTCAATAACGTATCATTTTAAAATGGCTTGACGCACCTCGTCTCAGATGGGCAAAGAGAGCATGGCATTGTATGCGCAATTTCTTTTTTTATGTATGTATAATTTAAAATTTACAAAATAACATTGTAAAAATTTATCCTATTAAGCTTGTAAAAAATAATTATGGATTAGGTATGATACTAAATGATTAAATCAATGTTTTGATTGCCAAGTGGTAGGCCAAAAGGCATGCTAAAGAATATTTTAGTGGTGAAAAAGACATAATTCAAATTATAGTATCACAAGTTAGATAGTATCATTTACACCATAATAACCTCTTATAGCATGTTACTTGGAGTAATTACTAATGGGATAAGATTTTTTTTATATACAAGTAACTTATTAGGTAATTAAATATAAATTTTTATTATAATTAATCAGTTATTTTATAAAATTGATAACTAGCCTGAAAATAGTGATTAAAATACTGATAATGCAAAGTTATCTTTACACTTCAAACGTGACTTAGAGCCCGTTTGGACATAAGAATTTTTTTATTTTTCGAAATAAGTGTTTGACTATAAAATTTCTAATTTTCACTTGAAAATGAATTTTGAAATTTTTCGAAAATTTCAAAAACTCTAAAAAGCTGATTTCAAAAATTTCACTCAGGTTACTCACAAAACTTCAAAAACAACCCAAAATTATATTTATGTACAAACACAACACTAATTTTCAAATACCATTTTTACTTGAAAAAAAGAATTTGCTTTTTTTGAAAATTACAATTCTTATGTCCAAATACCCATTTAAATACTAGTCGGAGTCAAAAAGATTCACGAAAAATTCACAACTGACGCTACTTGTGTGAGTTTTTTTTTATCTCACAATTTTATAGTTCCATAATTTTGTTGACCACAACGTATGGATTCACAAATGTGTGGAATAAAAATAGGCATCACACAACTAATGTCAATTCTGTGTGAGCCACCCACAATCACTGGGGATTCACCCCTATATATACCTTTGGCGCGAATTGAAAACCCAAATATTTTCTAATCACTGCTCACACTTCTCAGCTGAGAGCTTAGAGTTCAAATGGAAGACGACACCGGAGAACGATCAAGCTTCGTCATCGGCCTCATCGAGAATCGCGCCAAGGAGGTTCTCTCTCTCCATTCGTATTTTAAACAGAGTATATTTCTAGGTACATCGAATGTGCAAATTTGAACTTTCATTTGAATAAATAGATGCGACTTCGCCTTATAGATACAATTTCGATATGTATAACAAGCAAAATTTGAACTACATTTGAACAAATAGATACAATTACGGCGATGTATAACAAGCATATTTGAATTTTAAACTTCATTTTGGATAAATAGACACAAGTTCCGCGATGTATAACGAATGAATGTAAACATCTTCTTTTTCGAGCAAAAGGTGCATTTTCGCGACGTAACGAGCAAATTGAATTTTTTTTGGATAATAGGTGCAATTTCCCTGCGTAACGAGCGGAATTGATTTTTTTTGAATGAATAGGTGCGATTTTTGAACCTGACGAGCGAATTTGATTTTTTTGTTATGAATAATAGGTGTATTTTGAGCAAAAGTTTAAACTTCTACCGAATAAATTGATGATATTTTCTGATTTATGACGAGGAAATTCGAACTCTGTTTTTGAATTAATAGGTGCAATTTGACTTTATAAGTGCTTATGTCATGTTATAAATATGTGATAGCTTACTAGTTTGAGAAATTTGAGAAATGGATAAATATGATGCAGTTTGACGGTAGCTTCGAGTTTAGCTAAGTTAAATGAAGAGATTGTATTATGCTTAATTTTACACGTATTGTCAGAGAATATGTTGATGTTTTATATCTGAAATTTATTGATGTGTTGAGGTAATCCAGATTTATGACAAAGCTAAGCAGGTAATTAAAACTTACAAGTTTTAGGATAGCTTCGAGCTTGTCAAATTCATAGAAGATATTGTATTATGCTTAATTTCAAATGTATGTATGAGAATGTGGATATATAATTTGAATTCACCGTATATTTTCTAACTTTGGTTGTGTTGGGTTGTGTCTCACATTGGTGGATAATGGGTGACTTCTCGTTATATGATCTTGGACAATCCTCATCTCATAAGCTAACTTTTGGGTTGAGTTAGGCCCAAGGTCCATTTTATCGTGTTATCATAGCCAGACCCAAACCCATCCCAATTTATTGTTACCGATGTTGGGCCCCATTTATGTTGTTCACGCTCCAGTTTGCAGGCTTATGGGTGTCTAACGGGTGGGCCGGGCTGGGTAGGATAATTTAGGAACCGTATGGGTTGGAGTCCGGGCCAGTTATGGATTGGGGCTTACCGAGTTTAACGGGTTCGGATTCATCCGAGTAAAAAATGAACCGTAAAGGTTACGGGTACAAGGGGCCGGGCCGGACCGGGCTGGGTTGGGTTAGTGTAGTTTTTAATTTTTTTTTGTATTTTGTATAACTATTGTAAATTATATTTATATAAAGTAAAAATATAAAGAATACAATGAAGATGAGAAAAAATTGTACTTATAAATTGCAAGTACTATATTTATTTCAAAATTACAAAATTGAAGTTTGCATTTAACAAGTAAATTAACAAAAAAAAGAGTAAAACTAAATTTTCATGCATAATAATACTTCAAATTACTCTAACAAACTAAAACATTAAGCATAAATACGTCTAATAATTTTAAAATAACACAAATTGTCTCAAATCAACTTAAATACAAATTTCCGGAGGTCGCTCAAGACAACTCTTCATATGCCTCCTTAAACTGCCTATGCCACACTTTGGACGAAGATTTAAGACTCAACCACAGTTCTTGCACTTTACTTTCTGAATTTCTTCATTTTCTTCTACCACCTCAAAGTGTTCCCAAACATATGAGCGCACTCTAGAAGTACGANAAAAAAAAAAAAAAAGCTAGCCGTTAACCGGTCTGGGCCAGGCCGGTCTAGGCCGGTTTAACTGGTTCTACAGTATTTCTGTTGATCGGGTTTGACCAGTCTGGTTAATCGGTTGAAAATAGGTGAACGGACCAAACCCCCCTACCCCTTTAACCCAGCCCCACCCGGCCCCCTTGTACCGGTCCGGGCCGGTCCGGAAACGGGCTGACCCGGCCCGTTAGACACCCATATGCAAGCCTGGGCGTGAGGGGGTGTTGAGTTCTGTCTCACATCGGTGGGTAATGGGTGTCTTGGTCTCCTTATATGGTCTTGGACAATTCTCACCTCATAAGCTAGCTTTTGGGATTGAGTTAGTCCCAAGGTCCATTTTATCAGGTTGAAAATATGGACCACTTAATGTAGTTCCTGAGAACTTTACGGCTTAAGTGATCTAGAAAGGAACCAGCTAAAGAAGCCTATGGTGCTTCTCCGACCGATGCTGCATTTTACTTTTCTTCTTGATGACTTAAATGGAGTTAGCATTTTCTTTTCTCTTTTTTAAAAAAGAATCCATTAATTACTCCGGTCGATTGCATTTAAAGAAAGAATCTGCGCCTACGGTTCCCTGGATGCAAGCATCTTTGAGATATCTTCAGTATTATGTAAAAGTGGATGAGTTAACAGTTGAATTTCCAAGTAACTCATAAATTCTGGTGAAGTTTGTTTCTTTAATATAACTTCTCAGGATTGAGTATTACGTGTACACGTGATAATGACTTTTTAAGTATTAAATCAGAAATAAAAAGGAAAAATCCGTGCTTTGCTGAAGCTTCACACCCTAACTGGCAATAGCAATTTTGTCGGCAGGTTGGAGTAGCTGCATTTGACTTGAGATCAGCTTCACTGCATCTTTCTCAGTATATAGAGACTAGCAGCTCCTATCAAAATACAAAGACTTTACTACAGTTCTATGAACCTATGGCGATCATTGTTCCTCCAAATAAACTGGCAGCAGATGGAATGGTCGGAGTCTCACAGCTAGCTGATGGATTTTGTTCCTCCACAAGAAAGGTGTTGCCTCTAAACATATTGGTGGCTCTATTTCGATAAAATGCGTAATTTCTAATTCTTAAAAGCTTAGGACTTATGCTTATGTTGATGTAAACAGGTTATAATGAATCGTGGTTGCTTTGATGATACCAGGGTAGTTCTGAAACTATGCATTTTCGACTCTGCTGCTTCTCCATTAAATAGCACTGACACTACTTCATACTTTAATATGTTATGAAGGGAGCTGTACTGGTTAAAGGATTAGCTGCTAAGGAACCGTCTGCTCTTGGTTTGGACTCATACTACAAGCAATATTATTTGTGTCTGGCTGCAGCAGCGGCAACTATCAAGTGGTATGATGCTATGGTGACTTTCAATTTAATGGACATGGTATTGAAATATTTCATCTGCACTTCTTGCATAGAATGAAAACTTCGAGTTCTTTGGTAAATTCTTGAGAGTCGTGATGCACTCCGTAGAACAGTTAGCAACAGCATTAATATCCATATCTGCTAGGCAACACTCAAATAGGCTTATTTGCTCTAAGAGTGTCATCAATGCTCTTTTCTGACACACAGTTTGCAATTTGATCTAGTGAGCTCATGAATGTCACAGTTAGTATAGGTCTAAGTTATGTGTTACTTTTCTAGAGTGTAAAAGAGCTAGCCCAAGTCAACAGATATGCCCTCAAATCACTCTAGAGAGAGCTAAAAATACTCTCCGCCGATGAGTAACATTGTGGTGTTGCACCATCGACATGAGACTTTGAGATCTCATCCTTAGCCCAATGGAAATACTTGTTCCTGCATTTCATTAAACTGTGGTCCTCAAATGATAAGCCACCTTTAAACATCCGAATTTCGTCAAATTAATATGTTACTTTGTTGATACTGACAACCTTGAGTATGTGAAGTCTGTCATTCATTAGCTTTTATGAAAAACTAAAACACTTTTGATGCTTGGCAGGATTATAACCAAGAATTCATTCACATATTACCAATATGTGAATCCAAAAAGGATTTGTTTTAAGCATATTAAAGATGCTAGTAATTTAGAGGAAAACTGCCTCTTGTTTCACTTGATTATTTTCAGATATGATATGCAAGTACATCATGTGCAGGATTGAAGCAGAGAAAGGTGTTATTGTGGTAAATCACTCTTTGCTGGTATGTGCGACTTCTCATGCATAAAAGAGCCAAATAGGAGGGAAAAACACTTCACCTTATTGAACCTATCTACTGCAAGCATGATTTTGCCATGCAAAGTGGTTTCACATAGTGCAACTATTATTTTATTAAATAGGAGTGAAAAACACTTCAACTTATTTAACCTATCTACTGCAAGCATGATTTTGCCATGCAAAATGGTTTCACATAGTGCAACTATTATTTTTATTATTATGTCCATCACATTGCGCCACATTAAAGTGTAATTTAAAGTGAAAGAAGTATGAACTAGTCCCTGTTCACCAATATTCAGTGATTTGTTTGTGATTATTGTAGTTGCAGCAACGCCAATAAATTTTACCAAGAAAGAAGAATGTCTCAGATCATGTTTTTGCATACTATTGGCAAGAACAATCTGTCCTAGTAGGTCTTAAAGTAACATATTTTGTGTTAATTGATACTTACTATGTCCAGCTTTGGTATATAGAACTAGAACATTGCAATGATGAAAACTTTCTTTCTTTATTCATTTGAATTTTTGGCGGGTGAGGGGTTAGTGAGTTAGCTAAGCTTTTCCTATTTCTTAGCGAAAATTGAAGTGGCATGATTTTCAACTTTTTGAAGGTTAGGATATTGAGTATTTTGTCCACTGGTGTCCTTTAAAGGGCCATATGCGCTATTTCTTTGAAGCTCCTTTGGAAGAGAGATTTCTCATTTTGTGATCAAGAAACAGAAATGTTAATATATAGATATAAATGTGCCATTATGGTGGATGTAGCATATCTAAGAATTTCATGGAACTTTGAGTAGTCAAAAGGAGTATTCGAGATTCAAAGTTGTCTTCTCTTTCCACAGGTTACCTTCAATGGATCTTTTGACCACATGAACATTGATGCCACCAGGTAACTTCCTCATACCAAATTAGTGGCTGTTGCATATCAGCTTGGATCTATCACTTACTAGTCATACTGGCTACTGAGTTCCATTTCAGCTGATAACATCAGCATTACGCTTTCAATTATCCTAAAGGATTGTGTTTAGAAAAGTTAGAATTTATTGTAAGACTTTGTAGATGATCTAAATTTTATACTTTGTCGTTGATGGCAGTGTTCAGAACTTGGAGATAATTGAGCCTATGCACTCTTCTCTTTTGGGCACAAACAGCAAAAAGAGAAGTTTATTCCACATGCTTAAAACAACTCGAACTATTGGCGGGTATGGAAATAATTGCATTGATAAGCTGGTAATAATCTGTCAGTTCATGGTTATAAATGTCTTTGTGCAATTCTATTCAGTGTGCCTCTTGTTTCACATGATAAGGTTGTGTGATAGACATTACTTTTCAATTTCTACACCTAGATTGTGTTATACCTAATATACAGAACTGTGAATGGTGTAGGATTTAGCTTGGTTTCTGTAATACAAAAACCCTAAATTACTGGGAATCATATACCAATTTATAAATATTATTCAGATGACTGTCAACAATGTTAACCTGCTATATGGAGCACATCATTGTATATGAAAAGACAGTCAGTTTTGTGCTTAATGCCTTTTGCCACTTTGTGAATACAAGAATGATAAACGTAAATACTAAGCCCACACTTGAGGCAACTTCATAGTTCTTATGTTAAAGTTCTGCACAGGATGGAAAATTCTGTAATCTGTCTATTTCAGTATGCTGTGCACCTACAACATAAATCTGTGTTTGCTTGATCATACTCCACCGCAGGACTAGACTTCTGAGGGCAAATCTTTTGCAGCCTCTGAAAGACATAGAGACCATTAACACTCGACTCAATTGCCTGGTAGGTTTTCAATGTATTGCATGAGACAGAAGAATATATGACATGCTCTGCTACTATAGAATCAGATTTTGCTGCCATCCCTCCAGTAAATTTTCATGTTATTTTTTTACATTCGTTTAGCAATCTTCTGCGTTAAGAATTTCTCTATTGCGGTTGTATCTCCTCTAGAAGATCTATTTTATTGAGAGTAAGCCTTCTCAGGAAAAGGCTTTATTTTTTAAATGTTAGTGTTGCTTTGGGTGATCGAAACAGGAAGGAGGAGATTGAGGGTTCTCTGAACTACTAGCTGAACTGAGGTGTTCCACAGGAAAATTAAAGTTTTTAAGACTGAGGGGAATATGCTGTTTGACTACAGCTACCAGATTATGCAATCACACTGGTCATTACTTGATGGAGTTTTGGTGCCAATAAAATTTAACCAGCCTGCAGCTGCTTTCTGAGTGTTATTATCCTGTAGTTTATGCCGTGCCTTTCAGGATGTAATGTGATCCAGTCAAAACCTGTGACACTTTTATCATTTTATATCCAGGATGAGTTGATGAGCAATGAGCAGCTATTCTTTGGCTTGTCTCAGGCCCTTCGTAAGTTTCCGAAAGAAACAGGTAACGTCATAGAAAGGAGGTTGATTCTCTCTTGTATTCTATATGGCTTGTCCCATTTCAGAAAGTTGACCTATGTTTCTCCATCCAGATAGGGTCCTTTGTCACTTCTGCTTCAAGCCAAAGAGAGTTACTAATGAAGTCTTGGCTTCAGATAATGGAAGGAGGAACCAAATTATGATATCCAGCATTATTCTTCTCAAAACCGCTCTTGATGCTTTACCGTTACTCTCCCAGGTGCAGCATCATTGTTGGGGTCAGGCATTCACTTTTCTGTATCTTGTATGGTACAATGATTAGCTTGTGATTCAGGTGCTTAAAGAAGCCAAGAGTTGTCTGCTGGGAAATGTTTACAAGTCCATATGTGAGAATGAAAAATATACTTCAATCAGGAACAGGTAACGTTCATATTTGCTTAGATACCTGACTCTTCCCTCCAATCCCTCTCCATGTTGGTGAGCCCCACTTCAGAATTCAGACAGTTCCATTTTTTCATTGTTAATGTATCTTCAATATTCTCCACCTCAATCCCTTCTAGGACTTTCTTCTTTTTCCGTTCTTGTTTTTCTGAAAGAGAGGATTCCTGTTCCTCCTTAATTTTGTTTACGTCCATGAGCTAATTATTCCTCTGCATCTATCAATCCTTGTAACTGATTTGCAGTTCTAATATGATTTAGGATATTCGATGAATACTGCAATTCATATGTTTATTTTATCCATGTGATATTTGTTCTCTCAGAATTGGAGAAGTGATTGATGAAGATGTCCTTCATACACGAGTTCCTTTTGTTGCACGGACACAGCAGTGTTTTGCTCTTAAGGCTGGAGTTGATGGGCTTCTTGATATGGCCCGTAGATCATTTTGTGACACCAGCGAAGGTTTTTCTGCCATATTACATGTTCTTTTCCCTTCTAAGTTCATTGTCTTAGTTTCTAACAAACACTGAATTTGTAGCTATATACGACCTAGCAAATAAGTATCGTGAAGATTTCAGACTGCCAAACTTGAAGATCCCATTCAATAACAGGAAAGGGTTTTACTTTAGCATTCCGCAAAAGGACATACAGGGAAAACTACCCAGCAAGTTCATCCAGGTTGTCATGCTATATTAAAAATTAAACTTTTATTAAGCATTTATGCTTCTTTTCCTCTAACAACTTTCACGCTAATCAGGTCATGAAACATGGAAACAATGTCCATTGCTCCAGTCTTGAACTTGCTTCAGTGAGTATTACCTGGCATCCATTGCTACATTCCTCTGTAGGCTCCATTTGGTTTGGTGCAAAACATATTCCAGAAGATATTGCTCTTGCAAATTTTCATGAGGAAAACCCGGCAAATCAACTTGAAGCAATAACTCTTAAGGGCGGGAGTGAATGCACCATTGGGGATGGGGCACGAAGGCTAAAAGAAAAAGTAGTGGATCAGCGTAAAATGTTTTCAATATGCAATAATGTGAAAGGGAAGTGTGGGAATACTGTTTGGTGATAGTTGTATAGGTTGGTGAAAGCAAGTGTTAAGCGAGGACATAGACAACTCTAGTGGAAAATCACTAACACTCTTGAAAATACCTAAGTTGTTTTCTTTCATACAACAACAACAACATACTCAGTAAAATCCCACTAGTGGGGTCTGGGGAGAGTAGACTGTACGGCCATACCCTTACCCCGAAAAGGGTAGAGAGGCTGTTTCCGGGAGACTCTCGGCTCAATCAAGAGAGACAATAATATCAGAAAAGAAACAAAAGAAAAGGCATGTAACAACAAACGATGCCAGAAAGAAAATAACACAACGAATAAGTGAAAGGACAATAACACCTGTTAGCGGAAACGTAAAAGAAAGAACACAAGATTTAACGTGGTTCGGATCAAAATAATCCTACGTCCACCAGAGAACAATTGCCCTTTTAATATTAACAAAGGAAGGAGAGATTTCCCAATTACACTTAAGAGAATTTCTCTCTTAACTCTCTACTCACTACAATGTATTGTATTATTTTGGGATGATTTCTACAAGTGAAGGAGTGCATCTATTTATAGAGGTAAAGACCTCCTCNCTTGAACCTAGCATCTTCCACTTCAGGAATTCCCTCTTTCTTTCGGTAGACCCACTTGCATCCAACTGTCCTCTTCCCCTTTTGTCTTTTCACTAAGACCCATGTCTGATTCTTGTGAAGAGACTCCATCTCTTCAGTCATGGCTAACCGCCATTGTGCGGCATCCTTGCAAGAAGTTGCTTCAATATACGAGGAGGGCTCCAGATCTTTAATCTCTTCTTGTGCAGCTACGGACGCATATGCAATCAAGTTTGCTTGATTTATAAGACGTTCCGGTTCTCGTGTCTGCCTCTTCTCCCTCCCCTTCGCAATTGTGTATGGTTCATTGA